AATAAGCTTAAAAAAAAAAAAAAACAACCCACATTGGTATGGAGTTAGCCCATCCAGAGCATTTCCATGTGCCCACTCTCTGCCCTGGGGAAAGTGGTGATCAGTAGTGCCCCATCCTAGGTGAGGATCACATCAAGGAACTAATTGCACAAGGGAGGCCTGGGGCAGGGGGGCCCGGTCAGAGGGGCCCGGGCAGGGACACTTGGGCAGGGAGGCCCAGGCAGGGTGCAGCATCACCTTTTCTATCTTAGAGAACAGAATAAATCCTTCTGGTTGGGGTGCAGGGGTGACAGATACCCTGCCCCACACAGGGGGATTGAACAGAGCCCCTATTCAACACCCGACTCACCAGGTACTCCTCAGTGCCATAGACAGAGACAAACTTCTCATCGTCATCCAGCTCCCGGGCGGCCCCAAAGTCCGTCAGCTTATAGATGCTCTGCCCCTCCTCCCCCATGAGGCGCATGATGTTTCCAGGCTTGATGTCGCGGTGGACAATGCTGTTTTCCCGCAGGTGGTTCATGCCGGCCACTGGGGACGGAGGGAGGGCTGCTAGCTCTCTGGCCAGGAACAGCTCAGTGTGTGGGGCTTCTTTTGGGGGAAAGGACGCCCTTGGGTCCAGATAGAGAGTTCTCATGGGCTGACAGAGCCACAGGAAAAGCAGGAGGACAGACATGGGCACAGGGCAAAGGCGGGGAGCCCAAAGACACGGGTGCTGAGGTTCCACTGGGATTCCCTAAGAAACTAAGAAGGATGGTGTCTCTGCCTCCCCAAAGATGGCATCCCCCTTCTTGTCTGATTTATTTTTAAAAATTGTAATAGGGGCGTCTGGGTGGCTCAGTCGGTTAAGTGTCTGACTTTGGCTCAGGTCATGATCTCACAACTCATGGGTTCGAGCCCTGTGTTGGGCTCTGTGCTGACAGCTCAGAGCCTGGAGCCTGCTTCAGATTCTGTGTCTCCTCCTCTCTCTTTCTCTCTCTGCCCTCCCTTGATCACCCTCTCTCAAAAAGTTAAAAATTGTAATAAAATATACCTAGCATAAAATTTAGCATTTTAATCATTTTAAGTGTAAAAACCCCGTGGCATTAAGTCCATTCACACTGTTGTGTGACCATCACCACTGTCCATCTCCACAGCTTTGCCAATGTCCCAAATAGACACTCTACCTATTAAACAATCACTCTGCATTCCTCCCCCTGCCCCCGCCACATGCCATTTGACTTTCTGTCCCTATGGATTTGACTGTGACTTACTTCACTTAGCAGTGTCTTCTAGGTTCATCCACATATAGCATGTGTCAGAATTTCATTCCTTTTTAAGGCTGAATAGTACCCCATTATGTGTATATACCCTATTTTGTTTGTGCATCCATCTGTCCATGACGTGTGGGTTGTTTTCTTCTCATGGCTGTTGTGAATAACACTGCTATGAACTCTGGTGGACAACCTGCTTTAAGAATTGTTTTTAGGCTAGTGGGGCGCCTGGGTGGCTCAGTCGGTTGGGCATCCGACTTCCGCTCAGGTCATGATCTCGCGGTCCATGAGTTCGAGCACCGCGTCAGGCTCCG